TCGTAATAAATAGGATTCCAAACATTTAAGTCTCTAAGTGCACAGTACTGTACATATAATACAATTCAAAATCAACAGACAGTTCTTATGCATAATTTGGACATTCTTTATCTTTTGGATGTATAACTGCTGCATGTAGAGACGCTGGTGTCAGACTGTCGGATGTGTTGCATAAGAATCTACATGTCGTTTTTTGTTTTTTTTTTCTTTCTGGTGAAATCAGTCTGCTACTTTTTGCATTTGATTCAGTATTCAGGCATTTTATTGGAATATAGAAATAGTGTACCGAGCAGGTTGTAGCAGATACAGCTCTACAGTTATTCCTGGAGTTTAATTCAACATTCAAACCCCCAGTTCGAGCCCCCACTGTGTTATCTGCCTTTTAACTGCAATCATTTAAAGAGATTAAAATCTGGGCGCTGGGTTTATGCTTTCACACAGCATTCAGCATGAATCAGCGTCCCTCGGGGACACTGGATTGGCTCATCAAAGGATAAATCTTTGCAAACTGACATGTCAATGAAACCCGTTCCTGGCTGATATACATTTATTTCTCTCTTTTACTTTTAAAAGATATCTTGATCTCAGTGTGAGTATCTGTATAAAGATAAAACAAAAACTAATTCACCCTTGAGTAATAAATTATGAGCCATATATTGAGAGAATATTGTCACAGCACACACCAATACGTCAGTTCATGTCAGGGCAGGTTTCAGCTTTCAGTTCAGCCAATTCAAACTGCAGGCTAACCCCCATCGTTCCAGTGAAGCATTGTTAATATTCAGATTCTTCACAGAACTTCATATGACAGCATTTCCATGCCTGTTTGTAAAGTTTTTTTTTTTTCTACAACTCAGCAGTTCAACATCTTTTGTTTCACTCCTCATTCTCTTCTTCTTCTTCTCTTTGCAATATGATACACTGCTGGATAAGGAGCAGTGCATCCTGAATGTCTTTCAAGTCTCAGCACAGCAGTGCATATCTTACCTGAGAGTGGTGGAGTTGCAGCAAGCTGCTGCCCCCGGGCCTCTGAGCCACGCTCAACCCCCACCCAACCCTCAGTATGGTCTGTGTCCTCAGTGGTGCATTGGAGACAGATATAATCTGCTGTACAGACACATACATTCTACAGATAGTGTCATGGTAGGGTTGCTGGCAATTTCTCTGCTCAGGTTAATTTGGACAGTCAAACAAAATTCAGCTCTTTTCTGCATGTGAACAAAGTATTTTGTTTATTTTGAATTAATTTTGAGTGAATTCAAAGAGGCTTGGTTTAAAAAGAAAGAAACTGTGCTATGGACACTGATTCTCCCGCCTGAATAGTAAATATGAAGCTCGGTTTGCCGAGCTTTGTGCAGTCTGGAAACAGGGAAACAGCTTGCTTGGCTCAGTCCAAACTGACCTGTAAAACCACAAAGTGTTTTTATGCTTTGTGTTTTTTTACAGATCAAACAAGCAAACTGTAGCATTTTAATTAGTAAGCTTTAGGGGTGTTAGTGGGGATTTTTGGTTATTATTGGCAAAGCCAGGCTCAATGTTTTTCTCTGTCTTTGTGCAATGCTAATAGACCAGCTGCTGGCTGTAGCTACATGGTTACTGTGTGCAAACTTGGGAGAAATATCAGTCTCCTTATCTAACCACTAACAAGAGAACAAATGAGAATTATGTCCCAAATTTAAAACCATTCCTTTAATATGTTGCTGCTCTATTGTATATTAAAACAAGGCTATCAACTATTAAAACCCACAATCTTCTTTTTTACATGCATATTAAACCTCCATTTCAGCTTGTTCCACAGCATGGGTGTCAATTAAGATAAATCAACAAGTATTGCTGTGTTTGTCGAGACAGAACAGGCCTAACTTTTGCCTCAGCTGTGTAAATTTTCTTCTCACCATCTTGAATACAGACTGCCTCGCTGAGGTGCAGTACTGCATTCCAGGCAAGTTAAAACACGACCGTGTGTGTTCTCCATCTGAGGGAATCAGTTAAACTGGGTGGATGCGAGGAAATGGGTCACACACATCCAACTCTGTAACTTAAGAGTGTAAAAAAAATAAAATAAAAAATTGTGTTACATTCAGGTCACCTTCTGGCAGATATTCTGAGGTAAACTTTAGAGTACAGTCTTTTCACATAATCCATGTATTTTTGTTTTTTGTGCCCAGGAGAACACTAAATGGGTGGTGCGCTAAATTAAAGCCACTTCCAAGATACAGTTTCTTTACTAGAATCAGCCCTGCACTTGAAAAAAAAAAAACATTAAATAAGTTGATTTACAGAAAAGTACAGTTTTTTCTTTGGCATTCTCCATCAGTAGCTTCACTCAAACCGGGAATAAATCCTCTAAACAACACGCCTAAAGAAACATCCCTTTGAAGGAAAGGCAAAGACGGTATCAGCAAACTTAAAAAGGGCTTATTACGTCCGTCATTTCCATAAAATTTGGGTTTTGAAAGTACCTCAGGATGTGTTTATTACTGATACATTTTCACCACAGTAATAAGTTCCAAAGTTTCCAGTTGTTATATTCAGACTAAACTCTTCTTAACTGGAAAAAGAAAAAAACATCAAAGAGAAGATTTTTATGAAATTAACAACTTAATTTTCAGTTTGTTTTTGTTTAATTTAGGGGGGAACGGGTTTATTGTGCTTTCAAAATGATTTCATTGATCTGCATTAAGTTACTGATATTGGGAGGTTGTTGTTGTTGTTCACTCATGCTTGTTGCCGCTGGTTGTGCGTTAGATTCCTGAAAATTGTACATTGTGGTTGCTGTGATTCATATTCTGATAATTGTAAAGCTCTCTGTGGGGGAGGAGATGGTTTTGGTTTAACATTCAGTTCCCCGAGTAAAAAGGGCTATATTAGGGTGTGGATAGCTTCAAGACAGAAAAGTGGGAGGTTTAGTGCCATTGCCGCTCTGCTATTGGTGGACACAGGGACAAAAATGCCTGTACCTGGAGCAGGTAAACAGACTGACATCAGGCACTGCAGAAGTGGACCAGCTGCTCGGATTTAGTGCAGCGCATCAATTTTATGTAACCAACCACACTGGACAACTTGACAGCTTTTTTGTGTCTGACTTTTGTACAGGTTTGTGCTGTATACTTTGTCCAAAAACAGAAAAAGAAGCAAGGATGTTAGCATTTATAGGTTTATTTCTGTGTTAAATGTCTGGTGCTTTGTTGTTGTGCTTTTTCAGGCGGCTTTGGGGATTTCATGACTCTTGCATTGTCAAGGAAGGAGGTGAGTTGGAGGCTGAACAAATGACAGAAAATGCATGTTTATTAGCAATTACAAGTTCGGTTTTCTATGCAGAACTACGTGTTGAAGGGGAAATCTATGAGATGGTGGTTGTGAGATAGATAATAGAGGGTTGTATTTGTGTGGGTTCAGTCTCTACATGTTAAACAGCACCCTGCATTCATCAGACTCAAAAGACTCCAGAAGGATGGAAAAACAGTGAAAACAGGTCCTGTCTTGTGCAGGGAGAGGCCTGCCTGGCACACCCTTCCTATACTCTCTCACACACACACACACACACACACACACTCATACATAAAGACTAGAGCATGCACTCCAATGGAACCTGTCTTTCATGTATTTGTTCCTTTTAACTAATCTGCCACTTCTTTCCTGACAGATGAAGAGAGAATGACATCATTGAAAGCGTTGAAGGGAATCATCGGTGTCAACGCTCCCAGTGACTCCTCAGCAGAGGTGTCAGCACGCTCGCTGGCTCTTATGAAACCATCCATGTATTCTATCCTTCATTCCACCGGAGTCTGTATAAAGTGCCAATCAGATTTCAGTGGTTTGAAGAGTAAGACACATGGAATTTGTCATCTGGAAAGAGCTTTAAAAACAAAAAAGTATTATCACATTATGAAGGGTTTGAATGGTTGAGACTTTTACAATAAAGGTGAAAGGTGCTTTGTGACAAACAATATGGCCTCTAATGTCCTTTGATGTCAACCTGGTGGTGAATGCAACAGTTCTGCACAAGCACCAAAAGAGGACTTCTTCTCCTCCTCCTCCTTACCTGCATTGCAACAGCGGTTGAATAACGTTGCACTGATTGCACTTCAGAGTTATTGCGGGATCACAGAGTGCTACCAGCCCCACTTTATGTCTTTTAGACTGTCACTCACGGAGGTTGTTATGTCCTCACCCTGTCTCTCTGCCCTTGCTTTTCCAAGACATGGCAATTACATAATGATTCCTAAATTCCCACATTGCCACATCCACAGCAAAGCCTTCAGAGCTTGGGCCAAGATGTATTTTTGTGTCCCTAAAGTCTTCTCATCTTACAACAGTACCCATAGTGCTCAAACATACATCGCCACCATCGTATTAAGTAATTTGCAATTGAGTAACGAACATCTTTATCATCTTTTTTTTCTCTAAAGAATATAGTTTTCCCATCAGGTTTCGAACCAATCCTCCGTGGGACAATTAACCTGCCTCATTAGCATGGGACATTTCCCAGATTCTATTCAAAGCCTTAATTATAGCTAAATGGGCAGCTGGAAGTCATTTGACAGCTACACTGAGCCCTGATTCACCCGCACATAATCCACCCAGTTTAGATGGAGGGAAAATAACGAATAAACCAACAAAACAACATAGTGCCAGATCAGCAGAGATTCGTACAGACTTGCACCGAGTAACAGGATTGTTATGACAGGTTCCCTCCTTAATTATAGACGGTGACACAATAAATCCAATAACTCATTCATTAGAATATCTGAAAATTCGCAAACAACATAGTCCAGTACATTTTAAGAAAAGAGCACCTTATTATAAATTCACCGCTACTGAATCCACAACAGCGGTAGAAAGAAAAAAAAAAAAAGAGCCCGTGCAAAGCCTGTTGCAAAAGATAATTTACCCAGTATGTTGCAAAGACAGAATGACCCAAGCATGACCCGGACTTTAGACAATTCAGTCTCAGCTTCCCCTGCAGCCCCGTGAACAATCAACTATCCCAGCAGGCCTTACACAGAAGAAGGACTTGTCCCTTTCTCCGTTACAGGCTTTTCATGTGCTACACATCTGAGCCTGCTATTCACTTTCCTGTTAGACGCAATGATAACCAGAGGGCTTAGCGCTGCATACAATGAGGAGAAGAATATACGCAGGTCAGAGATCAGTGAGGAACTCATGGTCTTCCTCACAGTGAGAGTGTACACCCAAAGCCCATTATCTACCCCATAGAGAACCACATACAAGGTCACAAGCACCACCACGACTTTGGCAGCTCGTCGCTCAGCCCCACCACTACTACTACTACTACCGCCGCTGCTGCTGCTGCTGCTGCGGAGTCCCTTCACCTGGCGGCTGTGCTTGTAAAGGAATATCAGTATTATCAGACTGGCTAGCGTCATGAGGGCCATGGGCACCACATCTCTGCCCACCTGAGCTGCCCCGTTGGCCTGTTTAGACAGCTTTGAAGGAAAGTTTACATAGCAGAATTGTACATTAATGCCATTGTTTAACAGGCTGGAGTCATTCTTGCTACCAAAGGAGAACAGTATGGCCGCCGTGGTCATGCAGGTGTTAAGAACCCAGAGGAACAGGAACACAAAGGCCAAATAGTGGGCAACCAAGCTGCGGAGAGATGCCCAGCGTGACCCAGGTGGTGCAATGCTCAGACACTGGTAGGTGCTCAGGAGAAAGGTGAGCCAGATGGAGAGGGCACGGGAGGTCCTGTATATGAAGATCACAGCTTTACAGCTCACATCTCCAAAGATGTCGGCCACGCCGAGGGAGGCCAAGGTCTCCAGAAGACATCGTATGGCCACCACCAGCAGATTGGCGCAGGCAAGGTGCAGAACGATGGCATCGGCCGCGAGGAGCCGGCGCTCCTGGTAGAACAAGATTAGGAAAGCCACAATTACAGCAGTGTTACCTGGAACTCCTACAACTGTGAGGGACAGATACAGCATCCCACGAACAAACTCCTCAGATGGCATTCCTGCAGAGATGAGAGGAAATAAATCAATGACATTACATTATTAAGCTATTGTTTATTATGTACCCCTAAATGTCAAATAGTACCTAGCATTTAAAATAGTATCAGAAAAATCCTACCTGAGAAGAGTCAAAGCTAAGGAGATGTGAAGGGGAACTTGTGCCTGACACACTGTGATTTCTCTCTCCAGAAATAGTCAGGTTGTTTGTGTTCTTATACTTGCAAACAGGTAATGACTGTTGGATCTGTTTTGCATGGTCCATTGACTTCTCTCCCTTCAGCCCCAATTACTTGAGATCAATTCAGATGACTGCTTCTGTGACTTGGCTGGGTTTAGACAGGATAACACCAAGAAAGCCGTGTTTACAGGGTACAAAGAGCTAACAAGTGAAGAGAAAAGTGGTGTTAAATCTTATGTTTACAGTCGAAAAAAGAAATCATTTTGCAGCATCGCTAAATAGAGACTGCTAAATACATTTTTTTTTTCGTTTTTTTTAATGGTCCTATATATATAGATTTCCTTATAAAACCCTTCACATTACTTTTGTGTTTTTCATTTCTGCAACCAATTTTAAAAGCCACTACCTATTAAAGAGACCTTCCTTGTGCTGTTTAGTCAGACACCAACACCACAGTGTCCTCCAGTGGAGAAACATAAAGTAAAAAGCCAGAGGACGTTCCTCTCAGCCCGCATGATAGATCACCCACATTTTTCATTTGTAGAGCGTGACTTAGCATCCAATTTATGATTGTGTAATTCATCTAAAGCAATAAACGTTCTAAAAATGGAATTAAACCTAAATTGTGAGGATGTTGTAAGGACAAATCAATGTGGGTAGGCTGCATGATTTAACTGCAACATGTCCCACAGCAGGGAATTTGTAATGAATATTAAGCTCATTTCTCCTAAGAACATAATGAGACACGTCCTCCATTGAAATTAAGAGAGTACTCTTATGATACAGTGTGACGATTAATGAAACTGGTCACATTTCCTCATGTAATTTATATTCAGAACACCATGAAAGCAGAATGCAGGTACTGATCTTGCTGAAGTATCACTTGTTCAATATATTTACATGTTAGAAAACTTCAACTTTAAATTTAACTTTTTAAATTTAACTACTTTTGTCTTTTGTTAGCTCAGAGAACTGCATAGATATGAAGGTACAAAAAACATAGATGGATAAAGTAACACATATATTATGGGAAAACATCTGTTTGTTTTACTTTAACTAATTCTACTGCGATCTGATACCTCCCCAAGTGATTGTGTTCTCCGACCCCCAGTGTTCATACATATTGTAAACATGCATTTTATTTGCATATTATTGCCGTTTTCCCATGTTGTTCTTTCCCCATTGTTATTCATGCCTACTTTGTATATGTGACATTTCGTGCCAACATGCTGCTCTTCTTGAGATTTCTCCAGTGTTTATTGTTTTCCTCATCAGATCTGAACTCCTTGGACAGACAGTCAGATTGATTTTTTGCTTTTTCCCTTGTCCATATCAATTATATTTTATTTTTTTAAAAATGAAGAAGAAGAAGAAAGAAAAAAAGAAAAATACTGCCTCTGTGGTCCTAATGCAAAAGGCAAAGAAATGAAAAACAGTTTTAAAGCTCACTGTGCATGAATCTGTTATTTCGCTTGCATGTTTGAATGATGACACCAACTAAGTTGTCCCTGAGTTTCGGGTGAACATAATTTAACAAATTAAATCTAAAGTCTTGGGAGGTCACTTATGCATCTCTCTTCTGATGCAAATAGGGCCATCAATATCAGAGCAAGAGTGTGCTCAGCCAAAAGCCTCTTAAACTCCATTTTTGCTCTGGGACAGATTAACTAGCACAGTGTGAAGTGCAATGAATATTCTCTCTTTGCCCTCCAAAGCTGTTGCCCTCACAAGCATACTTAAAGGAGCGAAAGGTTAAAAAGTGACATTTCTCTCAACTAATTTGAGTTGTTGGAAGAAACAAACTTAAACACTTGAGAAAGGGACATGATTTTGAGGATGCATTTCTGCACAAGAAGGAAGTCACTGAGCAAATGATCGGAGTTGCTTTGAATTGGCAAGTATCTCAAGCAGTGACATCCACAGTGTAGTGTCCATAACATACACACGATTTCATGAGCTTATATTACTTTATGCATAATCTTTTTATCAGACATTTTCTATAGTTTCTGACATGGCCTGTACAATATATGCATGTAAACCTCACCTCAGAGGACAGCACTAAATAATGTAAAATTAAAACTGAATTAGTGCAACGTGGAAAAACACCTTACATCAGCCATAAACAAAAGAAATCAACTCTCGAGTCAGGAGGGGGAAAAAAGCTGGGATTTCTAAACTTGTAGCACGGCATGGTGCACATGTTGCAATCCCCTGAGAAAGACATGCTTGAACTTGCCATTTTAATTAGCTCTCTGAACATGTAAACATGTTAGAAACACTGAGGGAAATAACACATCTTGTGATTTATTCCGAGGCTCACTCCCAAGAGAAAATAAGCCTCTCAAACAACACTGTTTCACAATCTGAATTTCAGATTTGAGTGATATACAACTGACCAACAGGTTAGAGGGATTTTTTTTTTTTTTTTTAACATTTGCCACTTACAGGGTTAGCAAACCTGGGCACGCATTAAGAACTTCTTATGTAGCACATGTCAGAGCTGAGAGTTTCAACATAAATGAATAATGGCTGGTTGTCCCTACGCCCCCAATTAGTACAGACATGCATTGTTATATGGCTAATTGTCTTGCTCCTCTGTGTCTTTTTACATGCTCCCAGGACATGAGGGAGGAAAGGAGCGCACACTGAAGCACCAGCTGTGCATGTAAAGGCCTCTTGATGGCTCATTCAAGGCATCATCAGGCTTCTTTTACATCAACAATAACCACACACTTTTGTCTCCGCAGGGGTTGTTTAACTCTATTTTTTTGACTCCACGGGGAAATGGCATTATAATATTTCAAAAGACTGACGTGCGGTCTTTCCGTCAATAGAAACTGAGAGGTGGCGTGTGGAGTTTAAGTGCAGAAAAATACCACTCAATTTAAGCACTGACATAAAAAAATTCACATTATTTATATCACATAAAGCAGCTTTTTTATTTATTTATTTATTTTACTTTTTACAATAATTAATTTACCAACACTAAAACTAATCCCTTGAGCTGGGATTCACTGCGACAAATATGCTTCTCCCTTGTTGTCGTCCTTGAGAGAAAGTATTAGGACGACAAGAAAGTCTGTCTTTAAACGAAACACATTTCCATATGTGCATTTAAACAGATTTGCTTTTGCAGTCATTTCTCCTGTTTATGCTGACTATTACGAGACCCCTTCCTAACATGCTTCCAATTTAAATGATGGGGGACAAAACTGATATTTATCTAAATATAATATGATGGTTCAGAAAAGTGAGTTAGAAAAATAAAGTTACAATTTGCAGTTGCAATGTTAGGTCCTTTTTGGTATAAAATCCTTTCTGTGTTTTACGGTTCTTTTATTCCAGTGAGCAGGGAAACATAAATTCAGAAAAAAATACTCATTTTGACTGAGTCTGTGGAAGGCGGTCTGTGGTGGTTTCTTGTATAATCAATATTTGTCTACCTCAGTATGTCTGAGTATCTGTGAGTGATGATTGCATTTGAATAAATGTATTCTGTAAAAAGGTTAATCACTAAGCAGAGGCACAGCGAACGCAGACTTTCACTGATAACTTGTTTATTGCTGCATATGACAATAAAGCCTCCTGAATCCTTTTGTCCTCCATCGCCCACATTGGAAGTGTGTTAATCCAGCATCTGTCAGTTGTCACAATGAACATGAGGAATGTCACAGCAAACAACAGCTTGTTTTGAACATCCGTATTGGCTACTATTTCTTTAAGTACTGTTTTCTTTGTAGTGCTTGCCCTCTGAGACTATCCGAGTCACATTTAATTTGTCGCATTCATTTGCCAAAATGTGGGCTGAACAATGTAATCTTGGCCAGTGGTCTTGTGGGACATGGAGGACTATAAATTGTAATTAAAACAGTTCATTCACAGCACATTTTACTTTGCGTCTGCATATTCAGGTGAGCATCATTTTCACAGGTAGAACACTTAAGATGATGTGATTTTATATAACTTGATAAAGCCAACATGGAAAATCAATTTTATCTGCAATTTATTCATAACAGATTTAATTTTCTGTCTGATTTACAAATCCTGACTGGTGCAGGCCCTGGGGTCATGGATCTGTGTGTGACCATCAAAGGAGTCTCCTTCCTCTTGCAAACAGGTCTGGGCATCCTTGGAAACACTGTGGTACTGCTGGCATATGCCCACATCATTTACACCGAACCCAAGCTCCTTCCTGTGGACATGATCTTGTGCCACCTGGCTTTCGCCAACCTGATGCTGCTGCTGACCCGTTGCGTCCCTCAGACCATGACTGTGTTTGGGCTGAAGAACCTACTGAACGATCCTGGCTGTAAGGTGGTGATCTACGCCTATCGCATCGGCCGGGCTTTGTCAGTCTGCATCACCTGCATGCTCAGTGTGTTTCAGGCAGTGACCATTGCCCCCGCTGGGCCCAGTTTGTCGAGGCTAAAGCCTGCACTGCCCTCCCTCGTCCTGCCCACCTTTGCAGGCCTGTGGCTCCTCAACATGGCCATATGCATTGCAGCCCCTTTCTTCTCTATGGCTCCACGTAATGGCACTGTCCCTGCCTTTACCCTCAATCTGGGCTTCTGTCATGTGGACTTCAGAGACAGTCTGTCCTATGTGATCAATGGGGTGGCTGTCTCTGGGAGGGATTTTGCATTTGTTGCCTTGATGGTGGGCTCCAGCGGTTACATCCTGCTGCTCCTGCACCGCCACGGCCGCCAGGTGAGGGGGATGCGTCGCTCTCAGGGTGGGGCTGAGACCAGGGCTGCCAAAACAGTGGTGACCCTGGTGGTTCTGTACGTGGTCTTCTTTGGGATTGATAACGTGATCTGGCTCTACATGCTGACGGTAGCAAAAGTGTCACCAGTGGTGGCGGATATGAGGGTGTTCTTCTCATCCTGCTACGCCTCCCTCAGCCCCTACTTTATCATTTCCTCCAACAAGAAGGTCAAGGCGAAGATTGTGTGTGCAGCCGAGCAAGACCAACCATCAGTGGACACTCAAGAGTCAAATGACAAATGACTCTGTCTCTATCTTGACAGCTTGCTGACTCGCCTGCAAGACAACAGAGTTGTTCTCTCAGACCTTATCGTTTTAAGCATTTGTGCACACATCACTGTTATTTAGCTAAGCAATGAACCCTTTAGAAAGCAGCACTAGAGAGTACAGCCTTGCAGTCGTGTTACACGGCTCCCTTTTGTTTATACTGTATATTTTCATTAAAAGATAATTAGCAAATATATAGTTGCATGTACATTTGTATGTCGGCTTGTGTTAGTCAATCATAAAACTTTGGGTATCAATTTACATGTTTTTTTAAGCTTTTTTTTTTTTTTTCAAGAAAACATGTCCGCTCAACATTCTCTTGTCCCAACTTCTAAGCTGCGAGCATTTGCTGCTTTAAACTCATTATGTATGGGTTTTAGATTGTTGCTCACACAAAAGCAATTTGAACAGGGCCAGACATGGTATTAAGGATAACAAAGTCCCCAGAGTTGTTTCTAGGAATTTAGACAGTTTAATGTCCAGGAGAAGAGTTTATATTACACAATTTGATGTAATTTTAAGATGGCAAATGTTTTAAGCTTAGCTCAGTTATTGTTTGAGCCAAGTCAAAATCCTTCAATTGGATTGACATTTGATCAGAAACTAATATTAAAATTATTTTAGAATTATATTGCTGGCATTGTAAGAAAGACTTTGAGAAGCACTAATAACATCCAGATATGTATTTTGTAAAATAAATTAATATTTAAAACCAGGGAGAAAGAAGATTTTGCAGCTTGACCTCACTACTTCTAAAATCCTGGATACTTCTTTTAACAGATGAAATGATAAACAGACAAAGAAATCACTCATCAATACAAAAAGTGAATCCCTATCCATTATTATTGTGTCGAAAATGCGTGCTAAATCGCTGTGCTCTGATTGGCTGAAATTTGATTAATAACTTTTGAGCATTTTTTGTCCTCAGTATCGCTTGTCAGACAGAACATTTCCCTATCGATGCTCAGGTTTTATCAGTTAAATGTGTATATTAACATGTAAATCACAAAAACTTTATTGAAGGTCTCAGAGAATGCTATTGGTTTGCTGTCTGAAAATAATTCGCTCATGAAAGAGTTTTGAACGCAGCCTTCAACGCTACAGCTTTCACCTTAGAGACAACACTCAGGGCATAATCACTCCATTTCACAAACACAACAAACCCCGGAAAAGGGAAGCGGAAGAATGAGCTGGAAAAAAAAAAGTACAGAGAGGCTCAAATAAACGTATCCGTAAACAGCCTAAAGCGCAAGAACAGAACTTTTGTTAAAATTTACAGGTTATTATTTGCGTCGAAACGCAACAAAAGAGGCAAAGCAAGCAGCATGCGTAGCTAGCAGTTAGCTCCACTTGACAACGAGACGCTGCGACGCCCCTGAAATTCATGACAAAGTATTAAACGATCGATTTGTGATGGTGTCTAAATGTTTCTTCCAATCTGTGCCAAAGCCACCGTGCTATTTAAATCAGGTAAGTTATTGATTTTTAATGAGCAGCTGGCATTAGTTAAGATTCCGCTAATGGACTTTGTTTAATGTTAACAGGTGCTTGATTTATAACTAATCTACAGAGCATTTACAGTTAAATTTACATTATGTTTCCTTTGTTGATCTTATCTCTGCTTTTGAAAAACAGCTTCAACATGCGTGAACCCTTTTTGTTTAGTGAACAAATCTGGATTTGTGCCCAGTCCTCCTCTCTGACCTATGAAATGACCTGATCCGAGTCCACTGGTTCCAGTATCTAATGATAATGGCCAGAATAGCCTGGTATCAAGAGAAGGTGAGACCATTCATGAACAAAACCAGACAGCTTTGCTGTCTGTACTTAATATTTATGTGAATTTTTTAATGCTGGCACAGAAAATACAAATGTATATGTGTGAAATTTTGGGTGTGTAAGATGTGTTTGCTGTATGTATTTGGGGCTAAAACGTTATGACTTCAGCAATGGCATGGATCATGTTTTTTTCTAAGTTCTCTTGATGAAATGCAAATTCATCATTTATTTTCTTTGTTTATTTGAGAGGGATTCTGTTCACGGAAAAGGTCAAGTTAGCCTTTCAATCAATTATCTCTGGATTTATTTCAAATAGGAAACCATAACTCATGATTGCATTACTTTGATACACTTCAGATACACTTTTTTGATAATATATACAATCTTTTTTTCCTTTTTTAAAATTCTTTGTGGTGTTAAGTTTGTATGAACATATTAAAGTTGGAAAACACCTCATCAACAGATTAGCATCTGTGGAAACATTCATGGGATATTTTCTAAGCCTGCTGCAAATTACTGTCAGGGGCATTGCTGTAATTTTCCAGTTCATTGTATGAGTTCAGGCGCAGTCAATCTGATTTGCATAATATGACAATAAGATTTGATGTGACATGTGTTGGCATGTTTGAAAAGCAGTGGAGCGCTAAAGAAAATGTTTTTTCGTGTTTTTTTTCTGTTGAATGTTTCACTAGCAAGTCCCAGATTTTACTTCCAATAGCTGATGTGGATTTATTTTGAAATGTCTGATTGTGATACAGATGATGCTCTCAGTTTACAGGCTTTGAATTCCAGATGATAATATTGTTGGTTCACATTTATTTATAAATACATCTACATTTAGTTTTATATTCATATATGTTAATGGTATATAAAGGCAGAGCGTTCCCTCTCTGTTTCCTCAATCAGCACAGAAACAGATTAAAAATGTTCTATTTTAAGGCTGTCTTTGATTCAAGTAATTTACTATAAACAGGAGTCCAAACAAGCTAATATTGCAGAAGATTTCCTGCATTTATCTGGGCAAATTCTTGATTGATCGTATAGTACATGTAACAAATGGACATATTACATTTAGACATGAACAAAATACATTTGTCCATGTCTACTATAGTGCTTTGTTCATACAAAAAGGATAAGCAGAAGTTTGTTTTTGTCACAGATCGGGGCCTATGATCAACAGGTCTGGGAGAAATCTCTGGAGAAGGCAGATCTAAATGTAAGACTCTTACATATCTCTGTAAAGAAATAAATAATTGCATATTTATCTTGCGATATCATGCTAAGCTGATGTATCTCTTACCGTTCATCTAGGGTTTGGACAGCAAACCAAAGAAGACGGGTCACATCAAAGCAGACCTCATCGATGTTGACTTAGTAAGAGGTGAGTATGAATGAAGAGTTCTTATCCACCTTATTTTTTTTAGCTTGCTTGAGGTGAATTTCCTGCTTTTTCTCACAAAACTGAAAGGTTAATTCCTGGAAACGTTCCTGCAGTGGAACGCTGCTGATCATCAATATTTTGCAGTACAGAAAAACATAGACTAAAGAATCAACTTGTGGTTATTCTTGTTTCGGTGCTTACATGGTGCACGTTCGTAATTACACAGTGTGTAATGACTGACTGTGTTACTGACACTGTACTGACTGTAGTATCTGAGTTTCCTGTTAAATCTGATGTGATGTTTGCAGTGTGAACTCTCAGCTCTGTGTTCAGCTCCTGCTATTAGACTCACCAAATGTGCAGGACTCAAACATGTGAACATGTGTTGTTGTATGCTGTGTTTGCCTTACTTAAATCCCATTTGTTTTAAATAAATGAATAGTGTGCAGTAGAGTCAGCATTCACAGATGTATTCATGACGGTTTCTGTGAAGCTGTGGAATAACATTGTGTCTTTTGTTCCGTCAGGATCAACATTCAGCAAAGCCAAACCAGAGAGTCCATGGACAGCTCTGACTCGAAAGGGTCTGGTCAGAGTCCTGCTGTTTCCGTTCTTCTTCCAATGGTGGATCCAGGTGACCTCCAAGTCCATCTCCTCATGTATCCTCATGCTCTACTTCATGCAAGGTTAGCTCACCATTTCTAATCCTAGTTCTGTCCATACTGCGGCTGAAGGTTTTCTCACAAGACTGACTAAATGTAAATATATTACTATAAACAATTAAACGCCATGAACCGAGGTCCAAGTAGCATGTTTCACATTTTAAACTGACTCATACCATTCTGTTGTAACATTGTTCATTTACACAAAAGATTTCAGCTCTGCTCATTTTTCTTATTTTAACAAAGACATCACTAAAGCTCCAATGATTTATTGTAATTAGACTTAAACTTAAATCCGTTCCTACAGCGTTAATACAGCTTACATTCATTTATGTGCAACAATAAACTTGTTACCCGTCACACCTGAGCAGCACAGAAGAGACCTCATTAGTAAGCATGAATTCTGTTATAATGTCTCCCCTAAGAGACCGTTTTGTTTGCTGTTGCCAAATGTTTTGCTCCCCTTAGTGGCAGCGGTGGTGCTGTACTTGGAGGTCCCTGGGGCGAGTGCCAGCGAGGTGTTTGGACCCATGTGTCTGATGCTGCTGCTGGGCACCGTGCACTGCCAGATTGTGTCGACCGAGTCCAGCCGGTGGCCCTCAGGCAGTCCAGCTGCCAGCAGCACCACCAGCCCAGCGCGCAGAAGGAGGTGGTTTTCTCATTGTTAGGCACTGCACACTTATTTGCTTATACTAACACACTCTCACCTCTTGGCTCATGCATAAACAGCCGCATAAAGCACACAGATAGACCCGAAGGCTTCTCATGGACTCGTACCTATGCCCTGCAGTCAAGCCTCAGAGGCTGTCACTCAATTCAGACCAGTGTTTTCCAAAGTGGCTGTATATATGCATATATGTGCATGTACTATCGCATCCAAAACTCTGCAACATTTACATTAACTTGATTTATGTTGGAAATAAGGAGCCCATATCAGACTCACCATAATAAAAACTGTTTAAAATGCAGCTAACAGCATGACAACACCTGATTGCCACTGGTCATAAAAACACAAAATTCTTTGCAAACCAGTTTGTTTGGAGTCTGAAGTGACTGGAAATATTTAATATGGTAAATAAGTGTCAAGTAATATCTCTGCTTTCCTTTCCTCAACACAATCTGTGCCGACTGAACCAGAGACCAAAACTAAAATCAGTGTATAAAGTGTAAATAGCTTAACTGACAGGATTTGGCTGCTTGTGTAAGACGTGTATTCACTGGGTTGCTATGCATTCATCCTACATCATAAACAGCATGTATGATGTGGTTCTGGCGATACTGTCAATGAAACAGGTCCTGCTGTTCCGCTAAAAACCCTGTTGTTATCAAACACACAAAATATAAGCATATTTTCATTTTGAAGACAATGAAAGAAACACATTTTTGTGCATTTATATGTAATAATTGTTTACTTTAAACAGTTACATGTAAATCTGTAGAGCACCAGTTGAGTTTTATTGTAAGTGACTGACAATAGGTCTGTATTTCTCAGTATAATATAATATGTATATACTGTATATGCATTGTATATTGGGGGGACATTTGGGGCATTTAGACAATGTCTGCTGAATCTACAATCCTTTTCCTTTTGCTCATATTTTCATTTTGTCTCCTTCAGGCCAAGGAAGGGCAGAGGGTTGAAAAAATCAGAAGAAAAGAATGACAGCGGGGACACGGAGCTGCAGGGGCCCTGGCAGTTCGAAGAAAGCCAGCGATTATACAGAAACGAGGAGAGGAGGGTACTGTCACTCATCTCTGTTGTCAGTCTTTGCAGTCAACAAACGTATGCCAGTGAGTTGTGGTGGATGGAGGAGTCAAGGTCTCATTCTCAGCTGTACAAGCAGTTTTCTGAGTACAAAAATTCTGTAAATTGACCTGTGTTAATGTGTAGGTGGAGAAGCGATCTTTATTTTCTTCCAGTATTTTTATGAGCTGTGTCTGTAGAAACGGGTTTGTTTTTACCAAAATTTGCCTTAATGCTGGCAGATAATCCCAACCAACATAATTAAAGTATAAATAAATAATCACTAATCCTCCTTGACAATGACTAAAGCCTATAATAAACATTAAAGCTTTTGTTAATATAGTATTTACTCCAGTTATGTTGCATTGGAGTTAGACTTCCAGGTGGTCTTTTTAGTTAGTTACTGTCATATGCAGTTTTAATTGTAGCTTCTATTTTGTGTATTTGTTAATGCTCACAAGTGTAACTCAGTCTAGCTCTTTGTCCTAGTGTATTTGCATACATTTATAATAAATTAGCTTTATGTATCGAATAATGTTTACATTTTCGCTCACTTTTGCAAAGGTTTCATTAACAACATCATCAACATTTGAATGGCTAGAAGTACAGAGAAATCACAAAAGTCATTTATGCAGTAAAACAGTTCTAATACAATAAATCATGTTTTTTTTTATTTATAATAATAAATAAATAAATATTGGGGGAAAAAATGATGACTCTACATAAAGATGTTTTCCTAACAGCTTGCACTGTTGCCCAGTTCACCTGGTGGTCACAGCTGAATCACTAATAACTACATGTTCTTTGTTGAGTTTTTACATAATCTGGTGCAAACAGTTTTTTGGGGGTTATTTTTAAAGTAGTGTAATTTTATTGAAATGTAATCATTTTACACTTTGATTTGGTTACATTTTCTGTCCCAATGTTGTGCCACTCATGATTAGTTTGAGGACAATTGGAAAGTTGAAAGTTCGATGATTCTTTCTGTTTGTGCAGTTTATGGCTAAATGGTATAGTTTTGTCCCTTTTCTTCGGGCTCAGAGGGTTAAGCTAGAGCAGGGGTCTCAAACTCGCGGGCCGCGAAACAATATTTTGTGGCCCCCTGCACAAAATCAAAGATTGGTGTTAGTGCGGCCCGCGCGTTTTTTCTGATATGCATCTGGACGTTTATGTTTTTTAACACCTGTGGGCTACCGTAGCTTGGGCATGTGACGACAGCAATACGAATTAGAAAAGTAACGTGCTTCAGGATTATCACCGAGTGGAGGAAAAATTGACCCTGTTACCCAGCTCCAGTCATGTCGTTTTCAAAACCTGCCGTGAAGAGAAAGATTGGCGATGAGTGCAGATAATTTCAGGAGAAGTGGGAGACGGAATATTTTTTTGTTGAGCACAGAGGCATCCCGACTTGTCTAATATGCACAGATAAAGTTGCACAAGGAATATAACATCAGATGTCATTACTCAACTAAACATGCCGAGGAGTATGCTAAAAACATGGGAAATGAGCGACAGGAGCAGGTCGCCAAACTTAAAACATCTCTACTGAGGCAACAAGATTTTTTTAAGAAAATAGGCAAAGAGAGTGATATGACTGTCAAAGCTAGCTACGTGCTGAGTGAGATGATCGCTAAAGCGGGAAAGCCATTTAAAGACGGCGAGTTCATCAAACAGTGCATGTTTCAGGCTGCGAGTATAGTCTGCCCAGAAAAGAAGGGTCAGTTCGGCAACATCAACATTTCAGCCAACACAGGGGCAGAGTGCATTTCAGACATGTCAGATAATATCTATGATCAACTGCGTGAAAAAGCTAAACATTTCCATTCATTCTCAGTCTCTCTTGATGAGAGCACAGATGTCACTGACACTGCGCGGCTCGCAATATATGTCCGTGGTGTTGATGACAATTTTGAAGTGCTGGAGGAGTTGCTCACAATAATTCCAATGCATAGCCAGACCACGGTCAGGAGATATTCCGTCAGCTGTGTGATGCCATTGCTGATGCCGGCTTACTATGGCAGCATCCGCAGTTGTACGTTTTTTGGTGGAATTCTTGATGCGGCCCAGCCTCACCCTGACACTACCTCTAGCGGCCCTCATGTAAGTTGAGTTTAGGACCCCTGAGCTAGAGCATTCAAAGTCTCACTTTCATTAATGTTGTTTTTGTGCATGTGTCTCCAGATTGTCTCCCAGAACAAAAGAAAATCAGGATTTGGGGCATCCGATGAGCTCTCCAGTGAGGAAGAGGAAGGAGTTCAACCACTAGAAGTGATTCGACCACCACCCCATCACGACAGACACCCTGATACAGTTTTGCTGACAGCTGCACCACCAGTGTCTTCTGTTCGGAAGAGACATCTAAAGAGTAGCCCCAAATCTACACTGAGACCTCAGGTAAACCTTACCGGTAGAGGTGCAAGACGTTTTTTTAATCTACAACAAGCATCTGATTGTTGTATAGAAGAAAGTTTAAGTTCAGACAATTCCAAAGTTGGTGCATGACACATTTTAAATGTGAATGTTTTAATAAAAAAGCTGGTTGATATGTAGCTGTATAAGTTGTCTGTTTCCTGTATGGAGAAACATTGTTAGTTTAGTGTGTTACATAAAACACTATATACTGTTTGATTTGAGGGCAGGAAGGGAGTGGAGCTTCCGTCAAGGTGAAGCCACGTGAGCTGGAGCGTCTCCGGCCCAGTGTGGGGTCTCGTCCTGCCTCCGACACCGACGACACGATGTGGGAGGAGCTTCTCCAGGGTTCTGACTCTGGCTCCACTGGCAGCAGTGACAGCGAGGGGAACGGGAGGTACGCTGGTATGGGCCTCCCACAAACCACCACTCTGAGCAGTGACGACGAAAGCCTACAACAAGGGATCACCGGAGTAAGATACACAAAAATGTTCTTCCACTGGTTTTGTCCTTAGTTAATTTGTTTGCGCATCTCATTCATGTCAAATGTTGTAGTGCTTCATCTATAAAATGATCAGCATGTCTGTGAGTCAGAAAACCCATGTATTACTTCATGTACACTGTGACATTTCCATAACCTTTTTCTATAAAAGCTCATTGCAGAATTACACACCACATTTGCACGCATTGTAAACAGGATGTTTATCTGTTGTGCTTCATTTTAGAACCAGCTGTCTTGGCTGCAGGCATGTCACCCATCCAAGGACCGTGTCAGTGCCATAATATGGGAGCAGGGGGAGTGTAAGAAAGCAGACATGTCAGTGTTGGAGATCAGCGGCATCATCCTAACGCGGGTACACATTTTAGTTTTTATATTGGTGTACGTTATCTGGGTAAAAAACAAATTGTAAACACTGAACAGCTTGTCTAGTGCAGTACACATTGAAAAGGGAAGTGTTTATACACAGTTACATTTGTAGTAGTGCAATGCTGTAGAAAATGTCACAGCGGTTAAATAAAGTGACAGACAAACATTACAAGTCAAAGTTTGCATGATTACGATGCCAAAATGTGTTATTCTCACTTTGTTGACAATGTAGCTGTCAGACACAAATAATCGCTCACAGACAAGAGCATTCGCAGTCTGTGTTAATTGAATACAAAGATGTTGTTGAGAAGGTCTAAGACAAACTGTTGCTCTCATCGTTATACAGGTGTGGCAGCACAGTAGATGTCTCCCATCTTGATGCTTTTGCTTCTGGTGTTCCGTGTTCCCAGGTGAAGTTAGTGGAGCAAGGTATGGGTTACCTTGTGCTCGGCGGGCTCATGACTGCCACCCTGGCGCTGCTCCCCTTTGCCTTCCGCTTGGCTCAGCAGCTGGACATGTCGAGCCTCGGCTCTCTGTCACTCACAGAGCTGGCAGAGATGGCAGTGGGGCCGTGTGATGCCCAGACGTACGCCTTTCACTTCATCACAACAGTGCAAAGGGTCTGCCTCACAGGACTGTTCTTCTTCATGATGTGTGTGGCCGAGAGGACCTACAAACAGGTGGGTGTTTACGCAGTAAGTCAATTAATCGATTAGACAATTGATCTTCAACTATTTTCAAATATATCTAATGTTTGTCAAGCAAAATGGAAAGTATCTGCTGGTCCCAGCTTCTCAAATAGGAGGATGTGCTGCTTTTTTTCTGTTTCACGTCTTTTGTAAACTGAATACCTTTGAGATTTAGGTTTTAGTTTTGGAAAATTGGTCAGACAAAACAATACATTTTACAGAAATAAACAATAATTGGTACATTAATTTACATTTGAAATAATCATTAGCTGCATACCAAGTTTGTTTGAAGTGTTGTCTTTCTGTCCTTTTAATAGTTATTCTATATTAGAAGCAGTAAGGAAATATGTATAGGATGCTTACAATAGAGGTAAAAGAATTCACCTCTCATTACATAGCTGTGTGTCTAAACAGCTTTTACTAATGATTGTTTATTTATAATAATTATTGTGTGTTTCAAATAAATTAATTAAAATCATCTGTAATTCTCTGACAGTCATTCATCCATTCACCCATGGCTCGTACAGCCTTCTGGCAGTGTGCAGTTGTGATGTCTGCATACTAAGCATTACTCACTTGACCGTCATCTTCAGTACTGCTGAAGTACTTGTCATTACTTACAGTGTGTATCCATCTTTCCACAACAGAGGCTCTTATTTGCCAAGTACTTCAGCCACCTCACTTCAGCTCGCAAGGCCAAGAAATCTGAGATCCCTCATTTCAGGCTGAAAAAAGTGCAAAACATAAAGATGTGGCTTTCACTGCGCTCTTTTCTCAGGGTTAGTATTCTCCTGCTTTAATACGCCCTTGTTCTATTATATTACTGTATATTGCTTCACCACTAGAGGGTTCTCATACACTTATCTCTGTTTGTAATGGTGTGTCATGACTCGCTTGTTTTATTGCAGAGACGAGGGCCGCAGCGCTCCGTTGACGTCATCGTCTCTACTGTCTTCCTGTTAGCACTTTCCATTTCATTCAGCATTTGTGCCCAGGTCAGTCACATGTGCTGCAGTCGATCTGCTTTGTTTAGAGATCACTGATTTGATTCAATTGTGCAAATAATTTGAGTCTGGCATGGAAACAAACAAGTAGACAGCTACAAAGCATGTCAGCATGTAATCATATTACCTGTTGAAAGATAAGCTATAAAGCTCAGATGGATAGCACTTTATATGATCTGTTAGATGCTAGGAAAACCTTACTTTGACAATAACAAAGTGCGGGAGACTGCTAATATTGACACTGTCGCTTCTGCTCTACTTCAGCTTCTGCACAGCCACAAGACATTCCTAGAGTCTATGACAAACTGGGAGCTCATGGTGTGGTGCTCCTCCCTCATGCTTTTTCTGTTACGGCTGGCAACGCTGGGCTCAGAGACCAACTGCAAATACAGCAACTCCTCGGTGCTGCTCACTGAGCAGGTAAGGCCTCCTGTCTGCAAAACACATGGGGATGTAAATGATTTCTCAGTGGGTTTCACCCTATGAGCATCACCTTCAGCTGACTCGTTGTTACTATCATTTAAGGCAGGTTTAAATAAACCATTAGGCCTTCACTGTACAGTGTATGAAAACTGTTTTTGGTTGCAGATCAATTTGTATCTGAAGATGGAGAAAAAGCCTAATAAGAAAGAAGAACTCAGTATTGTGAACAACGTTTTGAAACTAGCAACAAAACTGATGAAGGTAAGCATGAATTTTGACTGGTATGTTTTACATCCTGGATTTCCAGCTGAATATGAAAACGTCTCAGTGTTTTCAATTATACTTGTGAGTTATATATGTATTAACTGTGGCAGACTCTCAAAGTTATATTTTTCCTTTGCTCTATACAACAACTGTGCTTTAGCTACAGAACTATCAGAAAGATTTGCTTAAACCGGACAGTTCAGACTGGAGTTGTCATTTTAAGAAAACAAAAACAAAATTAAAAACATACAGAGCTCCAAACATTGCCCAACAGTGAGTGACGGCTCAGATGAGTGTCCACATAATGTTTTAAACTGTTCCTGGTGAGGAGAGAACATATTACTCACTGTGCACCTGGAATAACCTGCAGAAAAATCACAAGCTGGACTTATTTTTACCCTTAGAACATTGCAGGTTTTTAATTTCAACATAATTTACTTGCAGCTGTTCTTATTTCTAGTAAATTGTTTTTTTTTAAAAGCTGAAAATTGGCCACTTTAGCTCACATGGTTGAGCTGGCGACCCATGTACAGGGGCTGTAGTCTCGATGCAGCGGGCATGGGCTCGAATCCTGCTCATGGCCCTTTGTCGCAACCCCTTGCCCCATTCTTCTCCCCCGCTTTCCTGTCTCTCTTTCAACTTACCTATCTAGTAAAGGCAAGATGGCTAAAAAAAAAACAACTAAAAGTTGTAGTTAATATGTTATTACTCAATATGATTATTTCACTAGCGCGCTTTTTAATATTTTTATTGTCCACGTTTCTTGTTTATATGCTGACATATTTTATTTTCTTACTTGGTTACATTGCAAACGAGGTGCCTGTACCTCTATGTATGTCCAGAGGAAAAGTACTGCAATCTGGTGTCTTTTTTCAGAGCTTTCTGTTCAACCAGTTAGAGCTCGTATAGTTTTCAAAAAGGTGCCGGTGTCGCCACTATAGCTCCTTTCAGGTGACCAGTCATACAGGACTCTTCGCTCTAGTAACCAAGAAAATCTAGGAGAAGCTTGTTCTGTCTGTGTCTGTCTCTCCCAAGCTGTATGATGTGTCAGACAGAAATCACAACTAGGGGCGACGTTTGTCTACCATACAACGGCAGTTAGAGCGGTGAGATATTGTTGAGATATTTGTGTTGTGGAAACAAAACCCATGTCATTCATCCCAGCACTTTTTTTGATGAAGTATTCCCCACCCTGATGGCGCTTTTCTGCCAGAGAAAGATGCTATATTGACACACAGCCTTATCCTGGCCATGTAGAGAATAGCACATTTAAAATGAAGTAACGGCGCCCCCATGATTTGAAAGTTACAATAGCAACCACAAAGTTCCCCGTTTGAGACTCTGGGACCTTTGTTTCCTCATTTCCTGTCATCTCTCCTGGCCCAATGTTTATCAGTTTAATCACCTTCAGTTCTCATCTCCTCAAGACACCCCTAATAATAACTTTGTACAGAGAAGTATCTGATGAGTTTGATTTTAGTGTAATATGTCACTGTTATATTCCTCATGAAGCCCCAGTGGAGCTTCTTTTACCACTGGCCTTTCATCTATAATAAATTTTGGTTTTGACACTTTGTCAGGATATGTTTACGCATGTCGTAAAATGCACTGAATCCCCCTTTTATGTCCTTTAGGAGCTGGATACGCCGTTCAGACTCCTCGGCCTGACGGTGAACCCTCTGATCTATAACATCACCAGAGTTGTCATCCTGTCTGCCGTGTCTGCTGTGGTCAGTGACGTGCTTGGCTTCAACATCAGAGTGAGTACAGTCATAATAAATAATGAAAAATGTTCAAATTTGATTTCCGTGGAGATGTTACAGACAGACAGAACACAATAGATGGACACGCCACAGATGGGAGACAACAAGCACGAGTATTTTTCTCTCAGTGGGTTTAACAAAATATCAAGCTGCATCATGGGTACTTGATGCTATCTTCCAATGATTTTTGATGCTTTAAAAACTCATGTCGGCCTCAACTTCTCGAACTTGGGTCCTTTTTTAAGAATTTCTCTCTATTGTGAATTAACTTCCTAACTCACATAAATCACTGGAGTGGCACTTAAATGTGAATTATAGCAGCACATTACCCTGTAGTTGATGGAGTTGTTAGCAGCTTACAGGTTGTCTTAGAAAAGTTCTTTCTCTGGTTGAGGCCATCTGGCCAACAAGCTGGAAACATGCATATTCAAACTTAAGAAAAAATTCCAGATGTGATTTATGAGTGGAGAAAATGAAGTCGAAGATGTTTTGAAGCTGTTACCAGGTACTGGACAGTGACAATCCCTCAAAGAGGCAGTAAATACTTAGAAAATGCATTTAGCCACTTTCTTGCAGAGAGTTAGACATGAGTGTGGTATAAATCTTTTAATCTAAGAGTGTCTTAAAAAACTCTAAAGATAATGCAAAAATTATTGCAGTCAGGGGCTGCAAGGTGGATCAGTGGTTAGCACTGTTGCCTCGCAGCAAGAAGTCGCTGGTTTGCGTCCTAGTGAGGACACCGGGATATTTCTGTGTGGAGTTTGCATGTTCTCCCTGTGTAGCGTGGGTTCTCTACAGGTTCTCCAGCTTCCCCCAACAGTCCAAAAACCTGTTGAGGTTAATTAGTGATTCTAAATTGTCCGTAGGTGTGAATGTGAGTGTGCTTGGTTGTCTGTCTCTAAGTGTAGCCCTGTGATAGACTGGCGACCTGTCCAGGGTGTCCCCTGCCTTCACCCTGAGTCAGCTGGGATAGACTCCAGCCCCCCGCGACCCTAGTGAGGATTAAGCGGTGTATCGATAACGAATGGATGGATAAACCAAAGAGACACATTATGTTAATCAGTTATCTTTCAAGCTGTGTGCATGTGTGCATCTGAACATTGGAAAATGCAAATGTAATTACTGGTTATAATTTAAAACATGTCTAAATAAGTATGGTTTACTAATAAATAATAACTTTCCAAAACTGTTGAACTGTTTGTTTTATGACAGAAGCAACACTCTTATCTGTTACTGTTACCTATGAATATGTATAAATGAAAGTTTCCTGTCCTTTGCTTAATTTCCAGCTGTGGAAAATCAAGCCTTAACTGTGAAAACATCAAACTACTAACAGTCCAGACACTGGAGACCAGGAACCCTGTCTGCTGCAGACAGCCTCTCTCTTCTATTAAAAGTGCACAAACCTACTGACAGTATAACGCCTTCCAAACGAAGCTTCTATCTGAGTTTCATCAGTCGTTTGCAGTCCTGAGATGCTCCGACAATCGCTCACGCGGCATTACTGGCTGCTCAGCTGACCTGGCATCGCACATTTTCCATCCGCCATGCCACTAACTCCAGTGCCTCACCTCTCTGACCCTTGAATGTTCCTCTGTAAGTGGTTAAATATAGCAGCAAGATGAGGTCTGACATAATTTCAGGCTTCTGCGGCATCCACATTTCCAGTGATGTCTCGTACAGATGTGTGAGCACCAAGTGTAAATGAGTTACATGGAGATGATGTATATAGTGAGCTCGGTCTTAGTTTCTCATCAGTATAGTACAAATCAAGCAGTGTAAAGCCAGTAAATCAAAGTTGGAGTGGGCAGAAGGTGTATTAAATTACTTTGTATAGGACTCAACTCATTTAAGCCTTTTTATACTATTTAAGGAGGAACATTGTGATTGTTTGTGCTTTATTTATTTGGGGTTATGTTTGAGCGCTTACTTGTTATGGTACCTGTAAAACATGACTCTTTGACCACTGTCTGCCTTTTGTATTGAGGACCATTGTTGAAATGTATAACTATGCAAAAAAAAAATAAAAGAAAAAAGAAAATAAGAAGAAAAGCTGGTTATGCAGATAGAGGTGAATAAAAATGTTTTTTCATCCACGGATGTTGGCATGAATGTTAAAATGCTGTTGCTGCTGCACAGCTTTTGCAACTGATCCTCTGCAGAGCCTTTATGGTTCTCAGGGCTTATGAATTAGTAACACGGTGCTGTGCAGTTGGAGTATCCCGCTGTAGATCTATTATCAACGTTACGGTAGGAGGGGGGGAAGAAATCTGACGTTACAGGCACACCTCCGGCTTGGAAAAGACACCAGCCGGCCGAGGAGGCACATCAGCACCAAGGACAGGCCGAGCAGACTGGCTCCTGACGCCGCAGGACGCAGACTGTCGGTCTGCAGATCCGGAGATCGGACGGTGCATCCGCAGAGAGGCGTCGCAGACAGATACGCCTCATTATATTCGCCTTCCCGATCAGGTAAAAAATAAAAACATTATATGTCTAAGGCATTCTGTGTGGATTATATTTGATGTGGATTATGCTATAAATGATTCCGGAATGAACTCGGTCACCCCGCTGAGATTAAAGGACATCACTGCTTTTCTCGCTCATGTGCGGTTTTCTAAATACAGTGCATGTTAGCCAAGCGTTTTCTTTTTTTGAACAGATGATGTGGCAGCGCCTTCTCATCCTCACATCCTCAGATTGCAGTCCGTGTTGCCAGGGATACATGAAGCCACATCCATAGCGCATTTCGGGAAAGGCTGCAGCTCCGTGAGCAGGATTCCCTCCTGTCAGAGTCACGCAGATCACCCACTACATGTGCACATTGTTTCTGTGTTTCAGACCAGCTCGATCATGATTCTCTGAGAGATTTGAGCACAAGCAAGATTTCAACATGTCAGGCACTCAGAGGGACAACGGCCCTGCAAACTCAACAGAGGCCAAGAAAACAGACTTGAGAATGAATGAGAAGAAATGCTGTAAGTAAACTCCAGGTTTCTCTTCAATTTGATTTGCATAAGCTCTGCTTTAAGAGTCTCCAGGTGCACTTGTAACATAACACCTTGTATTGTTCACCGTGGAGTGAATTCAACATACAAAGAGTTTCTAAATCTCCTCTGTCACACGGAAGCCTCTTCATTTAGGCTCCAACCTACAAAAGACAGTTGCCAAGAGATTGGATCCCTCCCTGTTGGTAAAAAAAAAAAGAACATAAATTATGACCAGTGATATAAAAATACTCTGTGTAGCACCTTCTGGGCACAGTTCTTTAGAAAATTGCTTTTCTCTCCCAGGATGTTCCTCTTTAATTTCTTCTGATAACTCCTTTGAACCCAGTCCACAAATGATATTTGTGTCCAAAGAGACACATTATTTTTGTCCAGCGCACACATGACCTAGTTATTATATCAGCAACCAAATGCACTTTTGTTGCAGTAGTAATTGAGGATATTCATTAGTTGTTGAAGTCCAGTAAATTCATATCTATTTGACCTTATTTCTCCGCCTGTTTTTTTGTTTTTTTTTTCTTATCTTTTGTAATGCAGTTGATGAACAGTGTACTCATATGACTTTGTGGGACTTTTATTGATGTGCGTGTTTCTCCTGTGCAGCGTGGGCTTCCTATATGACAAATTCACCAACAGTGATCGTAATGATCGGCCTGCCTGCAAGAGGAAAGACCTACATGTCAAAGAAGCTCACACGTTACCTAAACTGGATAGGAGTCCCAACCAAAGGTAGTACACGACACATGACACTTCTGCCTCATTGCAACTCATCTACTGTCCCAACTGTAAATTTGACGTATTTTGCGGGTTACTTCTGATGGAAAAAATACAACTTGCTGAATGTTGTATGGACACTGATCTTTTCCTTGTGACCTTGTCTGTTGCAGTTGAATGTGTTTCACAGATACATTCTCGCCCAAAACTAATCTGACATGGTTTGTGTTATCAGCTATGTAACTTTTCTAGCCACACGATGTTCTGTACTTATGTATGTATAGAGGAGCAGTACACTGACAGAAGCTGCTCTTCTTCTCATCAGCCTTTGTTGCTGTGAGACTGAGCCCACAATGTGCATTCTGTCATATTAAAATATTGATCTTATTACTTAGAACTGATCTCTTGTAGAAGTTTTGCCTGCCTTTTGAACTACAATGATATAAACATCTAAGCATGGACATAAGACTGTTCTTTGCTACTTTATTTAACACTTCCATGTACAGTTCATATATAGTACAGTACATTGTGGCTTATAGCATAGTATAGTGTAGTATAGTATAGTATAGTATAGTATAGTATAGTATAGTATAGTATAGTATAGTATTGGATTTTAAATCTAAATACAGATTTTGATCTTGATTTAGACCAATTTTGTGCAGTTCAAACTGGACTTTGCCAGTAATTCTTAGTATGGTTTTAACCTGATGTTTTAATTGGATGGATGCTGTACATCAGAACAGGATAGTTTGATTTGTAAGTTGTGTCTGAAAGGTGAATGCTGTATATCCATTAACCTTTCAGATGCTTTCAATCCTTCTTTGTGTTGCTGTCAAGTAATTTCATTTCATTTTATTGATTGCCCTTAATCCTGAGCACCCTTAGACCCTTAAAAAATAGATTTAATCTCTTAAAAAGCAACACAAGAGTTGTCCCTTTACAAGACAGAGACACATGCATGAAGTACTGCATACAGAGCAATGAGGGAAAAGAATTACAGTAAAATTTCAGAGTGTAAAAGTTGCATCTGCAAAAACTCCCCCAACTACTGGATGTGTGCATAGACATTGAAATGTTGGTGCTATACGTCAGACTATCTCAAATATAGGTAACTTATTGAATTCAACTGAACTGTTATTGTTGTAATTGCTTGTAAGAACTCAAATGCATTCAACCAGTGACTTCAAACATAAAAAACAGCAGAATGGGTAGGGCAAAAGTTAATGTCATTTGTTCATTTTGCAGTGTTTAACTTGGGCGTGTACCGCAGAGAGGCTGTCAGAGCTTATAAGTCTTATGATTTCTTCCGTCATGACAATGAAGAAGCCATGAAAATAAGGAAGTAAGTCAGTCATTACAGTGGATATCCACATGTTATCTAACAGTGTGAGAGGCTATAATATTTCCACTGTCAGAGTATCACATTTCTTCCATTCAGTTGGTATTCTGCAGCCTCCACTGCTGCATCAGTGACTAAGCTGTTTTTTGGCCAGCAGTCAATATCCAGCCAGGGTCAGCCCAGCATTCACACAACCTTAAACTGACACACAGACACCGTGCATGACAAAGTCTGCCTACTAAATTCTTGTGGTTAGCCACTCTAAATCAGCCTGAGGTCTCCAAGAAGATTAACAAAGAATAAAAAGACCTCTTCCGATTGTGGTATTTTCTGGTAGTAATTGAAGTGGGCTTTACCGTTCTTGGCTATCATGGAAATGTGACAGGCTCCTGACAGCATCCCAGTGCTGAATTGTGACCTAGATATTAAACAAGCTGCCGCTGTCACTCCGAAGCTGACAGCAGCTCTCAAGGGTGTTGCATGGGCACCCATCCTGGGTCAAACAGTAGCTGTAAATAATTCTGAGAGTTTGCTGGCTTTTTTTTTTTCATCAGAAAGTATTGACTGGTTAGGCTTTGACCTTTTGTGAAATGTTACTTTGGAGTTAGATGAGATTTGGAGATCAGATTTGTGGGATTTATTGCACGAAGGAGCAAATCTAAATGATTTCACTGAAATCAAGAAATAGTTCAACATTTGGGGAATTTAGAAGAAAAGATTGAGACTGCTCTGATTTTGTCCAGTAATATATAGGTCTACCACCACCAGCAGTTTAGCTGAGGCAAGTACGAAGACAGCAGACAAGGAGAAACAATTAGCTTTGCTCTGTCCAAAGGTAATGAAGTCCACCTTTTGTCACCTCCAGTCTCCAGTCTGGCTCTATTCTAAGCTACTGTCACTTTATATTTAACCTACACACATGAGAGTAGTACAAATCTTGTCATCTATCTCTCAACAAGAAATCAAATAAATGCCGTTTCCAAATTTATTTTTAACCTCCAGCAGCACAATGAGGCAGAATGCTCTTTTTTGTTGTTGGTTCTTAACTTGATTAGATAATTTAATGTTATTTTGTTTTGCAAATCCCAGCTATCTACCTTCCAGGCAGACTTTATCAACCAATAAAAAATATGACTTGACTATGAGTCCAGAAGGTTAGTCTCGAACAAAACTGCACAGTAAGGTCTTTGGATTATCAAGCCTGTAACCAAATTGCTGCAGAGGGTTTAAATACATTTTTGAGCAGCTCAGATGAAATTCTATATATCTCAAATCTAATGAGGTGGCAGCAGAAGTCTAAGAAGTGGCTACTCCATTTCCTTGGCATAGAAAAACACCACTAGCGGAAGATTGGGCAAATGTGAGAAAACTGATCTTTTAACCCAAATACCATGTAAATCCCTCACACGGAGATACAAATCTATTTTAGGTCACTAGTATACTGCATGAGCAAATGAAAAAATGTAACATTTGCACTGCAATATAAACTGCAGTGAATGAGGTTTGCTGTCTCTCCTGCAGGCAGTGCGCTCTGGTAGCTCTGCAGGATGTGAAGGCGTACCTGACGGAGGAGGGAGGTCAGATTGCAGTGAGTCGTCTCTTTGCCTTTATGTGCTGCTGTTTCTCTTTCGGCCAGTGTGTTGATGTTGGCTCATTTACGCCATTCTTTAAAAAATATATCCCGAACATCTGACTTTAGGACTGTCCTGCAAACATTTCACAGCAGATAAATATTGTCTTTATTTTTCCTCTTTTGTCAGGTTTTCGATGCAACAAACACAACAAGAGAACGACGAGACCTTATTCAAGCTTTTGTAAAGGAGAATGCTTTCAAGGTAAAATTGCATGTTTTGTGCCTAAGTGCAAGGTTGCCAGCTTTTCCAGACATCCTGACCCACATTCCTCTGTGCAGTAGAAGGTGTCACAGTGTCTCATGCAAATATAGAGAATTTTGAGTCACCAAGATCACACAGATAGATGAGAGCTAATTTTGCGGTACAGACAGCAAGATGGTTAAAGTTTACGGCACAATGTTACGAAGAAGCTGCCCCGGTTATACGCACACTGCATGCATCTGTGCCCACTTTGTAAGGGCAGCTGCACTACATGCTGAAAGAGAACAGTATGTGATTTGGAAGGCAGCCTGTGTAACTTTTACTGAACAGCATCCACTATAGCCTCATGAGTTAGTGCCCAAATAGAAGTCAATAGATGGAATTTGCCTCTTGAGTCAGCTGCTTTAAAGGCCTAGGTGTGAGTTTGAGTGCAATGTAGTATAATGTAATCAGGGAACAAGAGTCTGAAGAGTAATGAATATAAGTAGTGACAGAAATCTTGAGTTTGAGATAATGGCCACGGGTGTGTTTTTTTTTTTTTTTTTTTTTTTGCTTTGAATTACACTTTTGTTGCCAGAGGAAGATTGTGTTCTTTATGCTGTAAAGTTGCAAAATCTCACTTTTAGCACACAGAAGTAGACTAAGTCTCTGTTATGACTCCTAGTAGTGCTGTGAGCATATGCATGTGTGGACATATTGTACATACTGGACATGTACATGCTATTTAATACACATTCCCACGGCCTGTGTCATGCTGTTCTCTTTATTCTACTGTTCCACTACTGTTTTCAGCAATACGCCAAAAAACACAGCAGCATGACAGTAAATATGCAGGGATGAAGAAGCATTAAAAAAATCTGCTTTTAAAGAACAGTTTGACATTTTGAGAAATACACTTATTGGCTTTCTTGCTGTGTTAGTTGCCAAGATCAGTGTCACTCTCATGTCTGTCTGTTACATATAAGGTTAGCTTAGTCCAGGTCAACACTTATGACTACAGGTACAAACTGACTCTGTCTAAGGGTAACCAAGTCTGCCTAGCACCACCACTACAGCTTACCTATACATATATTATATAATATCCATATGTCATTTGTTTAATCTGTACAAAATTGCAATTTGCATTTTTTGACTTCCTGTAGTTTTGCAAACAGGCAGCTAGGGGAAAATGTCAGGCCTAACCCAGACTTTTGATTAAGTACATGTAGTAGTCCAGCCCATATGACCCTGTGAGACTGTTCTCTTCTGTCACTACAACACAATTAAACATACTTCCCAATATGCCGACCCTGTCCCGTCTAGGAAATTGTTGTAATGTCGTTTTAATTGTCAGTTTCAGGAAGGTTTAGTGTAAGCTGACTCTTTGAGTTGCCCTCTTTCCAACAGGTGTTCTTTGTGGAGTCGGTGTGCGACGACCCAGAAGTCATTGCTGCTAATATTCTGGTATGATCTCAGGTCACCTTCCTGGCTTTGAGCTTTGACTGTGACCTCAAAAACCCATAACCTATTAATATTCACACTATCTGCAGTGTCATGTGAGAACTGCTCTGCTTGCGCACATTGTCTGAATATGTTACATACCTGCAACAGGAAGTGAAAGTGTCCAGTCCAGACTACCCCGAGAGACACAGAGAGAGAGTCATGGATGACTTCCTGAAACGAATTGAGTGCTACAAGGTCACTTATCAACCATTAGATCCTGATGACTATGACAAGTAAGACATTTTAAAATCTCACTGCTTTTCTTTATTCACACTTTGCTTTATCCAAATTTACAGTAAACAAATAATACTGGATCACTCTTCTTTGGTGCTTTTTTTTTTTTTTTTTTAAAGCAAAGAGTTATGTTAGAATTTTGGAAAATTATTTTTGCAATTCAGAAAATACACACTAGATGGTGACAGTAAGCAATGATTTAATTCACCTACATGATTCACTGGCACCTGCAGGGACCTCTCATTTATCAAGGTTATAAATGTTGGACGGCGTTTCCTGGTGAACCGGGTGCAGGACTACATCCAGAGCAAGATTGTCTACTACCTCATGAACATCCACGTGCATTCTCACTCCATCTACCTGTGTCGGCACGGAGAGAGCAACCACAACATCGAAGGACGCATCGGAGGAGACTCTGAACTCTCCCCTCGAGGGAAACAGGTATGATTACCCAAGTTCTTCAATATAATCCTGGATTTATTAACTACAAAGCCAGGGATGTCTGAAAGAGAGACGAAGTGAGAGAATAATATGAACACCTGAGTCGTGACCTTTCTTTCCTTTAATCCTCTCGCTTCCCTGCCTCTGTCCACTGAACATGAATCCGAAGAAGCAGAAATACCATTAATAATGGACAGATTGAAACTTCTGTCTGTCTCTCACTTCCCAGTTTGCCCACGCACTGCGTGAATTCATCGATGAGCATGAGCTGTCAGATTTGAAGGTGTGGACGAGCCAGCTGAGGAGGACCATCCAGACAGCAGAGGAGCTTGGCGTGCCTTATGAACAGTGGAAGATCCTCAACGAGATTGACGCTGTCAGTGCCCTGTCATCCAACCTCTCCAACCGCACAGATACAGCAATCATTACAGTTTCATGGCGCTCTGGTTTCGTAGGACAGAAGCTACATGTGTCGTGCTCTTTTAAGACACTCAGTAGAAAATGTGTCAGTGCAGACATAATAATTATAAAAACATTTCAGCTCTTTTGATTCTTTTCAAGCACAAACAAGTGTCATGAGGGGGGGAAAAAACAACAAAAGGCCTGAAGAAAACCTCTTTTAAAAGATTATGGTCACAGAAAATTAAACATTCTTCCGACACTTCTGGCACAGCAAGGGATATGTTATGATAGAAACACTTATTCAGTAGTTACAGTGCATCATCAACTATGTAGTCAGCCTGCATTTTAACCAATATGTCTAACTAACAAAGTTTTTTTTAAATAACTTCTTTCCTTGTGACCCATTCTTAAAAAATCTTTGGTCTCTTTATACAGTCTTCATTTAGCTGATAGACAAATTCTGTATTCGTGTTTTCTGAGACACTAAACTTGTACTATGACATGAGAGCATGTGTTTTGTCCTCCTCTTCCAGGGTGTGTGTGAAGAGATGACCTATGAGATGATCCAGGAGACATTCCCAGAGGAGTTTGCTTTGAGGGACCAGGACAAATACCACTATCGTTACCCAGGAGGAGAGGTGATCTGAACTGTTCCACACAATTACACATGTTTTAACAAACTAAATTTGTCTAGATGGTGGCTTAGTCAGGTCAAAACAAATGGTCTGTTTCATTCCATCAGATCATCAGCTTTCTTCCTCTAACAGCATTGTTGTTGCAGCTCCTGTTAGCTGCTTTTGCGATTATTATTAACATGTTAGGCTGAAATGGTCTCTTCTGGCTCATTAGTCCTACCAAGATCTCGTCCAGCGTTTGGAGCCGGTTATCATGGAGTTAGAGAGACAAGGCAATGTGTTGGTTGTCTGCCATCAGGCTGTGATGCGTTGTCTCCTGGCTTACTTCTTGGACAAGGGTGCAGGTCAGATCAATGTAAATGTACACACTCATACATGCAACAGTTCACACAAAAAGACGATTATATATTGTAGACTCTTTTCTTTAATCCACAGATGATCTTCCATACATGAAGTGTCCGTTACACACAGTGCTCAAGCTCACCCCTGTCGCATATGGTAGGTCTTTACCTAAAGATGAGACTGTTACAACACAACACAAGAACAGAAGTTAAAGTTACTTCATCTTTTATCTCCTAGGTTGTAAAGTGGAAATGTTTTATCTTAATGTGGAGGCAGTAAACACACATCGAGACCGGCCTCTTGTAAGTTGCACCGAACAGAGCTGAATAAATCACATTTCTGCATAAATGTGCATTCAGCATTGTTGAATTAGAATTTTTTATTGTGATCATATGTGCAAAATAACTCTATATTATTTAGTTTCACTACATTAGTCAGTAAAGGTCAAAATCTAATTTAAAGTTGAACACACTGTTGTTTGTTGTGTCTTAGTTCAGTGGAATTGCAGTGCAATCGCACTTTATCCCCTGTCTGTGAGGCTTTGCTTCCCTAACTCCTGCCCTTAACCCTGTTTTGGTATGCCCCTTTGTATGTTTAACCCTTATTTTAGTTAACTTGGTTTGAGCTGTGAGCCTCTGAATGTTAAGCAAGATGTTATTTTTGTTATATTTCACCTTGATGGAAGCCTGGGCTGAGCATGTTACCTTGCTTGGCTGAGTCAATCATGACCATTACTCTGGTTGCATCCTGATATTAAGAATGTATATACTCTGTACTTGAGCTTTAAGTCCCATTTTGAAGTGTGTCTTTTTTTAAAACACAGTCTACTGTCTTGAGGGAAGCAGGTGTCTGTCTGTCTGTCCTGTGCCACCAGGGCTGTACTGTCACTGTTCAATAATGTTTTGTGTTGTGTGGTGGAATAGTGCAAATTGAAACAGCTTTTTTCATTAAAAATGGCTTCAGTTTTCTTACCTGTTGCTGTGGATCAGTGTGGAGAGGACAGCAGCTTTGCTTGGCTGTGTCTTGTCAGGTGTCCCCTGATGAGTGTTCCCAGATCTTTTTCCTTAACACCTGCGGTATTTCATCTTCTACCAGGGTAATATCCCGAGGGACTCTGCTATCTTACATCGCCGGAATAGTTACACCCCCTTGTCCAGTCACGACCAGGTCAAGCGGCCCAGGCTCTACAGTGCAGGCAACCAGCCCTGGCTACCGCTCGCCCCCACCCCATCAGCTCTGATGCCAGAGGGACGGCAAAGCCAAGTTAGTGATAGACTCACAGGCTCCCCCTCTAAATCTGTCACCGTCAGCTGTATTCAGTCACCTCCCACCTTAGATGTAACCCTGTGTTTGGCATTCCCTTGCGTCATTTCTGGATCCTCTGGATGATTTAGTGTCTGTGTTACAACTGACGTACATGAAATCCACCCTTCCATCTATCTTTCTCTCTCAGGGTATATTTTGAGTCTTGAATGGGTTGCTCTCTTCTTTTATTGTTGTCCTGCATGACCTCTGCTTCACTACCGGGCTGTCTCCAGCTTGAATATGCAGACAGCATGCCTACTCTTTGCTGAGGGAAGCTCCTTTTAAGAGTTTATTGGACAAAAAAGACACACAAACATCAGAAATATCTGGTACAGTACTTTATTACAAATGTACACATAAAATGAACCAGAAAACAACTGGTGAAATGCTGTCTCTGTGTAACATAATACAGTAATTGTCATTGTAAAGGTGGTGAAAGGCATACTAACCATTTTAGAGAGTGAAAAGGTGGAAATTTTAAAATGCATATTCGTATTTGTAAGTGTTGTGTATTTGTTGGCCTTGCATTGTGTGTATAGTGCTTCAGTCCTACTCCACATTTCTATCTATCTCTCTCTTTCTCCACTTTCTCCAAACTTGTCTTACAGACTCGGATAGGAAGCGGTTGTCTGTGAGTATTTTGGAGACTTAGTACATGTAGCCAATCTTTCATTTTCTTTCCTCCAATTCAACTCATGTCACTGTAACCCATGCCAATATATGTTCTCACAGTGGTGCAATTGTTTTTTATGGTTTTCAGTCTTTCGGTTTCTCTAACCTTTAATTACCTTTGTACAGTAAAAGTTCTTATCAACTTTGTTTTATCTCAGCCACCTTATCAAGAGCCCAGTCATTTATTGAGTTTTTAGTGCTGAAATAAATGGCTGCAATAATGAAAATGATTTAAACAAAACTCTTTGATGATAGTACTGCAGACACCTAAATGCATTCCAGAGTAAAGTTAAAGTAATGACAAAAACTGACTATTTAGTTTACATACATTAAATAGATACTGTACAAATACTAAATTGTGTAAATCTAAGGCTGTTTAGGCCACTGTAAAAGATTATGATTTGGAGCTAATCATACAGAAGGTCAGAATGTGATCAATAATGAATCCCTCACTGAAAATGTGCCAATGTGGCTGTTTTACCTCACTTCAGATAATAGCCTTATTTTCCACGTTTAAACTTGTGACTCCTGGGGCCACCAGGGAAACTATTGATTTCCTCAAACAGGATTTGGTGCTGCAGGGAACCGAATTGTAGTCAGTGACATTTACTTTTTTTTCTTGAAGGAATCCCTGTGTGAAGGAATCGACTTTGACAGCCCCGAAGACTCTAGTGGCTGTGTCCGCTTCTGAGTGAAGATGAGATCCTCATCGCGCTGTGTGGGCAACTTCTGCTTTCGACAAGTTAGAAGTACACATTTTGTTCGATCAAAGGACAGTTTCTTTTAAAATGAGGTCAACTTATGCATGAGATAACACGTTCCTATTTATCTCAAGCTCTCTGTCATTACTCTGCATGCTGAGGCTTTGAACTAGAAGCCTTATCATTAGTATCATATACACTTGTGCATGTGCGCCAAATGAAATCAGTCAACCATCGGAACATACTGTATTACAGAACTGGCAACTATTTCTCATTGTAAATACTGCAATGCCTTACTGAAGTTATACATAATTACAATGGAACTCAACTTTCACAACTGGAAATCAAACATGCTATAAAGTAGATGCTGTAGAAATATTTTTATAATACAAATCCAATCATATATTATACCGTATATACAAACAATCTGTAGATGTGATTGTTGTCAAATGTATTTCTAACCCATTATCTGTTATGTCTTAATCTGAGAATGTGTTAGTCAGGTTCTGTAGGAAATTTACTAGCGTTCTCCTGTCTGCTTTGGAAGCATTCTATGTTTCTGTGTTGTTAGAAAATGCCCCACATTGCTGGACATACTATACACCAGCAGCAGGTAGAGAACTTTGCTATCCTGATGTGTTTGCTAGTGTCAACTGTCACAATGAACACTTACCCTAAATGTTCATATACTATTCTTCTTGCCTGTGTATTCTGGGAAGAGATTTTATGTAACAAATGTTAGTTATTTTTTGGCGTTTGTGTTCATGTCATCATACTGGCAATGAATGTGTTTTAATACTTTTTTCTTCCAGCACACAAAATCTTTGCATTTCATTTAATAATAGGGAGTGGTCCAAGATTAAGTCTATGACTGTAATGTTTGACTGTTGATAAGTTATTGGCCTGCTCAAAGCAACCTACTGTGCCTTTTAAGCAGACAATAAACATGAATTTTGAAGGGACATGAGTTTATTGTTATTATTTTTTGGTTTGGTTGTTGTGGAAATGTAGGAAACACACGTGAACAGAGACATGTGGGACAGACAGAGAGAAAATCCTTAAAAAAAAACAATACAAATTAAATTGTATTGAGGAAATACACAGAAGTAACTTAACAGTGTAAAGTAGTTGCTTTTTTTTTTTTTTGTTACAATAACATAAAGCTGGATGAGCTAACATAACTGAATTTGTCCTCAAAAAACGTTTATGCCGTGTGCAATGCACACATGCTGGAAATATCAATTTAACTCCAACAACAAGTTCCGTCTATTAGAGAATTGACGGTACACGCGCGGGTTGACTTCACAGTGAGCGTCATGGCGTCATACGAACGTACGGTGACGTACTCTATATGAGTCTCTCACTGGATGTTTATTGTTTGAGGCAGGCAGGGCTGCAGTCAACGGCAGGTAAGAAAACCAAATCACTCAGCTCGCTGTCGTGTCACTTAATGTCCGCGGTCGTGTGTAGTTTTGCCAATAGACAAGTAACCGATTTTATTAAAGTTTAAACGGATGCGAAAAGCCTAAAACACAACAGTGCAGTTAGCGCCAAGTTAATGGGCAGATTAGCATGCTAACGTTAGCAGATGATACACGATACGGTTAGCTGCTCCCGTCAACGTAAATTTGTCTGACACCGGTGAGTGTGTTTCTTTCACACATTTCCAGGATAGCTGTCTGTAAAACACTGACTATTTTTCCAAGTTATAATGATACTTTGCTCTGCACACTTCTAAATGTAGTCGCTTAACAGGGAGTTGCTTGTTTAGCCTGCTGTCTGTTTGTGTTACTGTCGAGTTGAGTCGTCAACGTGAACTGGCAGAACAAAGAAACCAAAACAAAGCAATGTCGCTGTCAGGTGTTTTACTCTACTGCTGTTCATCAGCACTTTAATTGTATCGCCAGGCCTGTTTAGATAGCGGTGTTATAATATATGTATCGACACAATGTAGACTAACCGACATCCCGATGCCTGATGTGTAGCAGTGGCTAACATATACCATTAGCCGTTCTAAGCTAATACAACTTAGTACATGGGAAAGCAGCGGCTAACTTGGCTAGCGTTAAATAACCACTTCGAGACAGTTGCTGCTTCAGCTTTTGCCTTCATTCAGCAGCGAGCATATTTGCTCTAAAGATAAATCGATGTCTAAATGTTCAAAGGTCGCTAAATTATTCAGAGAAGAGTCTGTATGTGTGTCAGATAAGAGTAGTACTAGTCGTAGTTTTTGTGTCACAGAGCGAACCTTTGGTGTTTTCAGGAGTAAATCAACCGATGATGTTTGAAAAGCAGCAGGTCGTTTAACAACACCTACGTTGTTCTGAAATCATGTTTCTTTGCAGCACTAGTGCTTTCAAACGACAATCAGTGTTTTCAAAATGTTAGAATGAATGACATAAACTAATGCTAAGGGGCTACTGGACCCCAGGGCTACCACTATGATTTTTATTATTGATTCATCTGTTAATCAATCATGGTACAAAAACAACAGTGGGGGAAAAAGGTGTAAGGTGCGCAAAACGGAAAACAAGTGTCTTTTAGAGAATATATGGTAGGTGAAACAATTGATTATCAAAGTAGTTTCTGATTATTTTTTCCATAGCTCATTGCAGTTCTATTTGATATCACTGCCTCTAAGCCTCATTTTGTCCCTCATACATAGTCACATTTTCACATTTAACCATTTTTTGATTGATGAATTGAGGCATTATATCAGTCAAAGAGAAACAAAATTGAGAGCTTTAGGAAATTTAGGTTGTTGTTTATTAACCTTGCTGCATTTTTTTAAAATATATTTTAATGATTTATTAGATGTAGATGTCAGCTATCCTGCTTCTGCAGTTTTAAGCCTTTGTCAAATATAGGCTACCCCTTACTTGAGGTTAATATTTGAGAATCAGCAGTAATCTTAAATGATACCGACCCAACTTTTATATTAAAAATAACACGTTGTTCGACAATATGTTACCATTAATAAAAGAGTTGTTTTTAGAAAACTAAAACTTTTAGAAATGAGCCAACTACTTGTACAAAGAGTTTTTTCCATTTAGTTTTTCAAAATGTAAAAAAGTCTTGTGAGTCAAAATAAACAACAACAAATGAATGTGCACAAACTACCACATTCTTTTTTAAATCGTTTAATTGGGACTCTATGATAGCAGTAGATACAAGAGTACAACTACATATTGATGAGATTGGATATATTACAGTTAAGCTTTTATAGTTCTGTATGAATGGAGATGTCATCATAACAACTACCTATTACAGTTTCTCGTCAACAGCTGACTTTGTGGATGAGGAAAGTTCTTACCAAATACTTGCAGTGTTACAAATGTGACATCACATGCTTTTTTGCAGGCAGGATGTTGCGGCTTCGCTGTAAGACCAAAAATGGGAGCCACATTATGCAAGGCTTGACCCATCAGTCCTGTGTGCAGGAGCTGAAGAGTAAGGTGGAGGAGCTAACTGGTATCCCCTGTGATGTGCAGAAAATTATGGTTGGTTACCCACCCTCAAGCCTTGATCTCCGAAATGGAGACGCTCACCTCAAGGACTACCCCATCAAATCTGGTATGACATCAGACATCTATCATGTGCAGATGACCTGGACCAAATTCACTGCATGTATTGTTCATAAGACTATGGAAGTAACATGTCCAAACGTTGTTTAGGATGTAGCCAATGGTAGAATGTAACAAATTACATTTACTCACATACTGTGCTTAGTGCAAATTAAATGTACTTAAATATTTTCATCTTACGCAACTGTATACCTATACTCCACTACATTTATCTGACCGCATTAGTTATTGGTTACTTTTAAGGTTACAATTATTCATACATTTCCCATTCATTGAAAACCATGTATCTCCAAATTTAAGGATCTGGATGTTTTCTGAAAAAACTGAAGAATGAAGTGGGCTTCTATGGGTTAAGAACATGCTTCTGCTTCTTACAAGATATATAAACTATTCAAACATGTCTTCGATTAGCTGGAAAATATATTGTCACAAATCTAAAAACAGGGCTGTTTTTCATGAAAAGTTTACTTTTTTAGGGATATGTGGTTCCCACTGGACAGCAACACTATAAACATATGAGTTTGTAGAATACAATGCATTACAGTAGATTAAACTACCTGATAAAATCTAAAGTAGTTAAAATGAACTCAGGTATAACCATCTGCAGAAAGAAAATGCAACATACACATCAATTCAGTTGTAATATTAATCATAAAAAAAACATACATCATAGTACAACACTGACAGGGGCTAGAGAAGAGAACAAGTACTTTTATTTTAAGTAAATTCAAGGTATTTATTTTGCTGAAGATAATTGCAAACATTTTAGTAATTATTTATTGCAGAACATTTTCTGGTAGTGGAGTATTTTTATAGTGTGGTTTTGGAACTTTTACTGAGCTAAAGGATCTGAAGGCTTCTTCAACCACTGGATGTAACATAAGTATAATTACTGGGTTGAAGAGTTTTGGGTAAAAAAAAAAATATTTGTTCTTCAGTGCTGTTAGGCCCAAATTGAATTTAGCTCGCCTTCATTGTATAGGAATATGCATAGAAATAATGGAAAAGGGAGTATCAAAGCCTGCGAAAAACCCGATTTTATTATAATTGGGTGACCTGACTCTAGCTGCATTTGCATTTGCATTTAGAAAAGATATTTCAAATAGGTGTGAAAAATTCACACAACAAATAGAGAGTTATAAACAAGGTGATGTTTTTCCTCTTTCCTTTTCAAACCCAAGTCTGATCAGGATGAACTGTGTTGTCATTGGTGTGTCATCCTCTGCAGGAGACACACTCATCGTGGAAGAGGAAAAAAACAAGCCAAAGCCTCAGGATCACCCCATTGTGACGAAAACGCCACGCCTGGAAGCCTCACCTGTGCTGGCACGTCGAGTGGTCCCAGCTGACAACTCCTGCCTCTTCACTAGTGTTTATTATGTGGTGGAAGGGGGTGTGTATGATCCCGCTTGTGCCCCAGAGATGCGAGGCCTCATTGCCCAGATAGTGTCGAGTGACCCGGCAGCCTACTCTGAAGCGGTGCTGGGAAAAACCAATGAGGACTACTGCACCTGGATAAGACGCGATGACACCTGGGGAGGAGCCATCGAGGTGTCCATCCTGTCCAAGTTTTACCAATGTGAGATCTGTGTGGTGGACACTCAGACAGTCAGAGTGGATAGATTTGGGGAGGATGCTGGCTACCACAAACGTGTGTTGCTGATCTATGATGGAATCCACTACGACCCACTGCAGAGAGAGATCCCCGGCTCTGACGCCCCGCCCCAGACTATCTTCTCTACCACGGACGACGTAATCCTGGCCCAGGCCCTCGAGCTGGCAGACGAGGCTCGCCGTAAGCGGCAGTTCACAGACGTTAACCGCTTTGCATTGCGCTGCATGGTGTGCCAGACGGGCCTGGTGGGACAAAAGGAAGCTCGCGAGCATGCCAAGGAAACGGGCCACACCAATTTTGGCGAAGTGTGAAAGTTGTCTTGTGTTCTCTCTCTCTCACAAATACAACCACCACCAACCCCGTGCCCCTCGTCTGGCAACTCCGTTGGTCTGTCTGCTTGTGTGATCCTCTACCTCACATTATCCAGCGACATCTTTGGAGAATCTGCAGACACTGTGTTCAGCCTCTAACCTGTTCAGTATTACTCTAAACTGCTGTCAGTTCTTAAAGTCCGAAACACTACTGCAGTGCTCTGATGTCATTAAACCATCATGTAGGTCTATGTAGGGATGGTTTTGAATCTGTTTTACTGGGTCAAGTAAAATATGCAAACAATTCTTAGGATTTGTTTTGATTTCTCATTAGCTGGGTTGTACTGACATCAACCAAATGGCGACTGATGTGTTGATTAGAAGATGCACCAACTTGCCATGACGTAACCCGTGGCTAATTAAACTTATGTGTGATAAAACACCACTGTATGGCTCTACAAAGAGTTTAAAACAACCACTAAGAATTATTTGCACTGTGATGTGATCCCATTCACTGTTGTCTTAAATGCAGCACACCAAGTTTGACTGTTATTCATCATGTTGGTTATGTAGCATGTTTTTTTATTTCCTTTGTGGGCAGATTTTAGAAATTCTTCCAATACTGCGATAATTTGGTGAGCTTCAGATGTCAGAATTGTTAAGTACAGATAGCTTATGTTAATGCTAAGCTGGATTAATCTATATAAAATTGTGCTCGTTGTGACATCCCTAGGGTTGGGCAATTGGGCCAAAAGATCATATGATGAGGTTTTAGGGTAGAATCTCGATTCTCAATCTGAATCACAATTCTCCCCACTGATTTAGCTGAACTTAAGCGATCTCATCATCAGTTTTGTATATGGTTTTAATTTGGCATATGATCTGCTTTTCACAGGAGTCATACAGATCATGTCATCAAGGGTGCTATGTGTAGTATTTTGTTTAGAAAGTTAAGTCTCAGCTAGCCCCAGTCCGTGCTGCCTCTTGTTTGCCTGCCTGCAGGCTGCTAGATCGCTGTTGTGGTGATCCTTAGCTGCCTCCCCACTGAATCTTGTCCTGCAGACAGACTCCACCTCCTCTGTCTTGGACTGCAGCTGGCTGATCACAAGTAAAAATTGTGGCATCCTTGTTCTGCTCTGCAGCCTCGGTGAGCTTGACATAGCAGCATACAAACCAGTTCTGCACCTGCCGCAGGTTCTGGTTGGAGTGGCCTACCGTCACTAGCTGCAGTCTGAGACAATGGAGATGGAGTCCATCTGTTCAAAGACTTCGTGGGCCACCACTACAGTGACCTGGCCATCATGACCCTTTAATGATGCGATTTGTATGATTCCCCAGAGAAAAAGATCATCGCCTAATTAAAATCATCCACAACATAAGATCATCAGATTGCCCACCCCTAGACATCCCTTTGAATTCATTGCGCTGTGGCCATTAAGATTGACGTTAAGCATCTTGAAATACAGTATCATATGGCAAATTGTGTTCCAAAATTAGCCTAATGATGTATATGGACTTTACTACTACTTTTTGTTTTTTGATGTTGCAACATAATTTATAGTGAGTTTGTTTTAAATTTCACAAAAAGAAATTTAAGTAATGGTGCTGTAAACAAAACATTATACAAAATCTGTAGCTGCAGTGTTTCTCATCATGGGTACGACAGGTTTTCAGGTGTGTAATTTTTAATTCTAGCGAGCAAGTTTCAAATGTCCTCATGCTGTAAGAACTCATTTTCAATTTTTTATTTTTTTTCATTTAAATTGCTGCACATTGCAAAAAAACCTTTCAAGTGTGATGGTGTTTGTCTGGGCGTAACAGATCAAGGCAACAGGCGTGGTGTATTGACTAGAAATCTGAAGTGAGTGTGAGGCAAACTGTATGAGATCCAGCCTGCCCACTTAATGCATTTACTGTTCAGGTACAGTCCATGGATCATGTCGTTTGCTAATCGGCATTAACCATTTACCTTGTCATCGCAGATTTGTAGCTCTAAGTTGGGTGTGCTACATGTGGCCTCTACGTAAAGGCACATTTTGGTTTAATATGTAGTGCATGTTGTCCAAAAGCTGCCACTCTGTTCCACTGTATGTTTTGCACAACTGGAGCATGTTCTCACATTTTGAGGTAAATTCAGGCATCATCTCTATGCTAATTCCTTTGATGCACACTGCCTACAAGGATGAAGCATGCACTTATCTATGTCAAATATCAGGTCAAATAATGCTTAATTGGAGAGGATGGAGGATAATCATGGATTAGTTGTTTTTATTTTTAAAATCAAAGCCCATTTCATTGTGGCCTCACATCGAGCAGAAGCAGTTATTCTGTTTTACAGATCTTTCATGGCAATATTTGTCCTGAGTTGTTGCCAAAAAACAATAAGCTTGACGTTAGAAGGCTTGAGTGGAGCTTTTTTCAGAATTTCTCTGGTTCAGACTCAGATAAGTGGTAAAATTAAATGACAGGGAAAGCAAAAATGTCCGTTTTTTTTTTCTTTTTTTTTTTGAATGTGAATTGCTATGATTTTTTTTCCTCATCTGTTACCGTAGGTAGTTGCTATGATTTTAACAGTGATCATGGATTAATCAGCTTGCATAAAGGTGAAACTATGAAATGGCTTTGTTGTATTTTGTATTTACTAAGTTCTCATGACTAACAATAACAATGAATGTTGCACACAAAGCACTACAGAAAAACTGGATTTACTTGATTTTTTTCAGTGTTGTCACAAATAAAAGTTATAGCCAGCAGTGTTGTGTATGAGTCGTTTTGTATTTCCTGTTTTTCAGTTGACCCCATTTTTTAGGGTCCGAGCACCCAAAAGGGTGCGAAGACCCTATTGGAACTGCTCGGATTATGATTATTATTCGTGCCAAAGACACGCGTTTTTGAGGCCCTAAACATACTCGAAAACTCACCAAAATTGCCATGCACATCAGACCCGGTGAATAATTTTATAATTTGGAAGAACAATACAAAAAACTACAAACTACAGGAGGTGGTGATTACACGTTAGT